CCCTCAATAAATTCGGGACCGATAACGTGATCCCCTATTATTCTGAGCCACACATTTACAGTCCATCTGCCTTGAATATTTGTTTCTATTATGCAGTGTGGATTGTGCTTGCATAGTGATGCTCGTTATGTCGGTTTATGCATCCATCACTTCCAAAAATAGCTTCGTCAGACCAGAGAATATTTTTTAGAAAGACATCATTTCCGGCCTCGTTGATATTTACCTGCATAAATTGAGTAAGTTAGTATAAAGCTGATGGCACAAGTTAGTAAACAGCAACGTCTAGTATGCTGCAACAAGAGAATAGAAAATAATTTTTTAAATAAATTTACCTGTTCAATAATCCATTCACAAAAATTTAACCGTCGGGGCATATCACCAGGTGTAAGTTTTTGAGTCGTATGCCGTTTAAATGGATGCCAACCCAAAGAATATTTGATTGTCTTATGAACGGCAACATGGGACATGTTCAAATTTCTGCCAATTGCTCTTGTGCTTGTATGAGGATTTGCCACAAGAGCCTGTTGAACAGCATCAATTCTCGTGTCTTCTTTGCGGAAGATGGATGGGTCTGCGGGATTTATAATATTGTCCATGTCTTTTCAATCTTTCGCAAAGGCGGTACAAAAATCCATGGTCCACATGTCGTCTGTTTGGAAATCTCTGAGCGTAAAGTGTAGCCGCTTGCCTTTGATTCTGTCGACACTCGCCATAAATAAGGATCATATCCGTCAACTCTTCATGCAAATAACGATTTCTTTCAGGTTCCATCGTAATCTCTCAAGTATGACTTTCACGACATTAACTTCTATTGAACAAAAGACGATCGGGAGGAAACAACGTCCTCTAGACTGAATTTTTGTTTACTCAATTGACTTTCACGAAGAATAATTGTTTATAATTCAGAAGAGGACGTTGTTTCCTCCCGATGTAGATAGGCAACCCAACTTACTGATGTGTATGTTGAGTTAACACCCTGTACTGTGATAAGCTTGTCCCACATCTCCTTGGCAGTACTGCACACTAGCACACTCACAACCTGTTCGTCCTCCATAGCTGACGCGATAATCGCCGTCGCTTTGGCATTGTCTCTTATCCACAGTTTCGTAAGCGCAGCATTTTCACCGTTCTGGTCCGCTGGCCTCGTTCTGGTACCGTCGACCACGTCAAATATCTCGTTCGCTATCAGCACTGCCGATATTTGAAACTTCCACGCTTGGAAATTTCTCCCGTCGAACCGCTTGACTGATCGTACCAACGCGTCGCTCGACATCTTCGAGCCACGGCGAAAACTCTGTTCGCGTGTACACTGAAGTCAGAAAAACGAGAAAAAAAACTACGCGTGTGCCGACGCGCGCGATACGACACGGAACTCGGTGACGTATTTTTCCGCTTACTCGTTTTTCCCCGATGCCCGAGATTCGACTTGCTTCGATCTCAGCCTGGGCACCTGCTTCGCGAACACTTGTCCCTTTTGTCCTTTGGCCACGTGCCTCGCTCGCACGCGATAATGGCCGTCTCGAGTCACAAGCCCGCACGATTCCACTTCCCGCACTGCTGCGATTTTACTTTCTAGCAAGACTACACTCACACCGGCCACGTTGCCTGGGCCCATAACCTGTTAAGGTAAAGAATGAATCGATGGTAGTCTTGCTTAAAGGATTTCTTTATTAGAAGTACACACGTGCTTTCTGAACAAAGGTTCGCTCGCAACTAACGTCCCCCACGGGGATACTCGCAGAGCTCGTGTGGCTCGCAGAAGTTCGGCCACGCTCGGCTTATCTAATGTACGTTAGGTACCATTGCTTTGGCGCTTGCATTGAATGCGATGAATCGTCTCAACACACCCTTCTCTTGGCAAAGTCCCAACCGATAATAAACTCCATTGGAAACATTCTGTAACATCTCTAAACTAATATCATTTGACGCTTCAACAATTCTGTGTTTCAGTTCCTCGATATCGTTGGGTTCCCAAGTAGAACATATTGGTCATGAAAACATCAAGATGACATCATTTTTCGATCATTTTTTATGCATCATGGTGACGTCAAAATAGCCCACCGAGAGCACCTATTTGTGACATCATTAAGACATCGAAATGTTGTAAAGTTAATCTCGTTTTACCAAGCAAAGTTAATTAAGTATTATACATCAAAAATAAATCGAAGTAATATAAGACAAACATAATATATGACTGATCATGTAATCTGTAATAATATATTATTATACACGTCACGAATATCATGGTCATTAGTCAGTCATTGCGAAGTAAATCTTGATGTCGATCATTTTATGACGTAAAATTCGTCATTTTAATGTCACATTGACGTTTTTGTGATTAACTTGTTCTACTTGGGTTTGGTTTCAAAAACTTTGCTTTTCAAGTATCCCCAGTAAAAGAAATCAAGAGGCGACAAATCGGGTGATCTTGGTGGCCACTCAATGGTACCTCTTCTACCAATCCACCTGTCAGGGAAAACGTTGTTCAGTACATTGCGTACAATTAGGGTAAAATGAACTTGAGCTCCGTCTTGTTGAAACCAAACATTCTCGAATGCATCCCCAACGATAGCTTGTATTGCAGGTATTATGTTATCGTTCAACAAATTTACGTACTTTTCAGATGTCAAATTGCCATCAATGAAAAATGGCCCGATGATACGATTACACAATATTCCAGCCCAAACGTTAACTTTTTCCGGATACTGTGTACGATGCTCCCTCATCCAGTGGGGATTCTCATCGGTCCAATACCTCATGTTATGCCGATTGACAGATCCGCTCAACTCAAAGGTTGCTTCATCCGAAAAACACGTCCAAAACAGAAATTGATTATTTCTGTCGAATTGTAGCATCATTTCCTCGCAGCACCCGGGAAAAAATTTTCACATATTATCATATAAAATAACCCAGATAGCAACGCGTGATGATCATATTTCATCACATCATGATTTTCTAATTCTGATAGACATTTGTCCAATTTTTCGTAATCATATCATGATGACACATGTTATGAGTACAATGTAATATGTTCTTGAGGACAAACTGTGATCTCAGATTTTGCTGTTATTTTTGCATTCCCTGATAATCATACATTTACGACAATCAACTGTCATGTTTTGTAAGTCAAATATGTGTCACGGTTGTCATCATTATGTGTCATCATAATAAAATATGTCTAAAATTATGCTTGCCACATGGCAAGAACAAACTCACAGCTGTCAACGCTGTGTTCGGAGAGTCATTATCAGCGCTATGCATCA